GCCAGACTTGTAGTGAAAGGTTGTTGTCAACGTAAGGGGATAGATTATCAAGAAACCTATTCACCTGTGGTACGATACAATTCGATTAGATTGATCTTAGGCCTTGCAGTCAAGTATGACTTTGACATTGATCATATGGACGCAGTGACTGCGTTCTTGCAAGGAGATCTTAACGATGACATTTTTATTCAGCAGCCTGAATTATTTGAAGTTAGAGGCCAAGAAAATAAAGTTTGCAAATTAAACAAGGCAATGTATGATTTGAAACAACCTGGAAGACAATGGAATTTGAAGTTACATCAAGCGTTTATAGAAATTGGGCTAAATCAATCAAAACGAGATGAGTGCATATATTATCTTTGCAAGGATAATAAGATTGTAATTGTCGCAGTCTATGTAGATGATTTACTCATTTTGGGCAACGATTCAAAAATGAAAAATGAATTGAAGAAAGAATTGGAAAGCAGATTCAAAATGAAAGATTTGGGAGAATTACAGTATATCCTGGGAATTCGGGTAACAAGAGACAGAAAAGAGGGCAAATTATGGTTGGACCAATCAAAATATTTAGAAGAGGTTTTGTCAAAATTCAACATGGCAAACTGCAATCCGACTAAAACTCCGTTAAGTCCATCCGAGAAGCTAACAAAAGAAATGTGCCCAAAATCAACGAACGAGGTTCAAAACATGGAGAATGTACCATATCAAGAGGCAGTTGGGTCATTGATGTATGCATGTCAGGGTACGCGTCCAGACCTGGCATATTCTCTAGCGTTATTGAGCCGATTTAACAATAATCCAGGCTCTGCTCACTGGTCAGCTGTGAAACGAGTCCTTCGATACATCCAGGGCACAAAGGACTTCAGACTCTGTTTTACAAGGACAGAGAATGGAAAACTTGCAGGTTTTTGTGACGCAGACTGGGCAGGTGATGAAGATGAGAGACGGTCAACCACAGGATATGTCTTTACATTCCAAGGGGCCCCTGTATCATGGAATAGCAAGAAACAACCCACCATTGCTTTATCCACAACTGAAGCAGAATACATGGCTCTAAGTGCAGCGGCGCAAGAAGCTATTTGGTTACAGGGCCTTCTAAATGAATTAATGCCTGAAGTCAATGACGAAGGACCTATTCTGAAATGTGACAATAAAAGCGCAGTGGATCTGAGTCGAGTGGGAGGATACAGAGCAAGGACAAAGCACATAGATGTGAGACATCATTTCCTTCGTGAGCAAATTCAAGAAAAGGCCATACAAGTTCAACACATTGCTTCGAAGGAAATGACAGCTGATGTGATGACCAAAGCATTACCTCTGGAACTGCATGAAAAGCACCTGAAGGAAATGGGACTCAAGAAGCGTTAATTTTACTTTATTTAAATTTAAAATTATTTTTGTTGATAGTTGTAGTTTTCTAGTGGGAGTGTTGATATTATAGAAAACTACCCTTTTGCTAACTGTATTACCGACATAAGCTTGCGCATGTGCGCACTTGACACAGTAAGTCTAGTTGATGTACCACCAAGTTGCAATACACATTTCAATCGTTTCGTTCAGTTTTATTCACCTATAATTTCCAAACAATCAATTCCACTGGATAAAGCAAAACCTTGCTACATGTATCAATACTGGTTCCCAGTTCGTATTTAGAATAAGATTATACAATTTATTGAAATCAGCCGCTTTAAAATTATATGTCCGTGATGCAGCATTCTTAAAATTCACATGGATGTAAGTTTGATAACTAATATCAAACACAATGGCCGGATGATGAACATCTTCTTGAACCAATGCAATATCAGAGCGATTTAACTTAGCGGAGATATTTTGTGAACAGAGAACTAAATCTAATGACCTATTATTAATATTTTTTACATCATTAATTTGGATAGCATTAACAGAGTTTATAAAATTATTAAGACTTCTGGCTTTTGAACAAGTTACATCGTCAATACAACGCACATTAAAATCACCAGCAAAAAGAAAACTGTCATCAAACAACTCAGCCATTTCCAACTTATGAAGAAAATGGTCATATACAAAAGATGGCGTCGATGGTGGAACATAAACAACGCCAACAGAGATGGATTTAAAATTCAATTGCAGCTTTAAAATTACAAAATCAATTTTATATTCACGAAGCAGATTGTCATTATCAAATTTAATTGAACTACAATTAAATTCAGATTTAACAGCTATAATAACTCCACCACCAATACCATTACAACGATCAAATCTGAAAACATCATATGCAGATGGAAATAATTCAGAACTCAACAGATCATCAGCAGCCCAGGTTTCAGTAAGCAAGATTACATCAAAATCATCACATGCAAGAACATTTTTATAAAATACAGAAGTCTTTGTTTTTAAACCACGAACATTTTGGTAATAGAACTTAACATAACTTAATTCTAACTGTTGATCTGATGTTAGTTTTTTGTATTTACAATTTTAGGTACACCATTACTATAGTTCAAGAAAATACTTTCACCTTTTGCTTTTCTATCCTTATATTCAGCCATGATCTTTTTTTTAACAGAAAGCTGACGAACGGTTAAGTCCTTACTGATGAATATTTTATTATTGCCAGGAAAATTTTTTAAGTTTTTAACTTTACTCAAAATCATAGCAACATCTCCTGAAGAGTTCATTGTAACTTTTAAGGGTCTTTTTCTATGTTCAACTTTATTTTTACCTAATCTATATACTTCCAAAATATGATCACTTATATCAAGACTCAAATGCCTAAAAATGTCATGAATTTTATTGAAATCATCAGTTTCAGATTCTGATTCATTTAGATTAAAAACAACAAGGCTTTTTTCTTTACGTTTAATCTCATTAACCTCACTAATAACATCTTCCATAGTAAGTACTTCAGCATTGGTGTTCTTAACATTGAGAGAAACTTCTGTTTTTTTTAAAGAGTCTTGAAGTGTTTTAACATCAGATTGTAAAGAGTGTACACTGTTTTCAATGAGTAAGACTCTGTCATTAATTTGCTGAAATTTATCATTGATAATTTGTGATAATTCATGTGTTAGATCAACTTTTAGTTTAATAAACTGTTGCTCAATGAATCTCTCAATTGATGAAAAAGTTAACGAGCCGTCAGGTACAGGTAAAGATGTAAAACAACTATGACAGGTCCATTCCGGACAAGAAGCAAGGGAATTAATGTCTAAACCAGTACATTTGGAATGGCAGTACTTTTTACACTTAGCACATCTAATCGATGGGGTAGAAGGCGTAATTGCGGAATTGCATATATTACAATAATTAACCATAGTGAGGTAGAAAAAATGATTTACGTAAAAAAAAAATAGAAAAACTATAATAACAGCAGAGTAACGAACTGACAGGGACACTTATCTTCACACCTATAGGGTCGTTTATGGTGGCTGACAAACTTGACAAACAAGGGTAGACCACGGAAAAGAACAATTGGGAAACAATAGGTAATTGGTAGTTAGAATTTAATTGACATCAAAAAGAAAGGAACGAAAAAACTTACTGATAAAACGAGTTTATCTATCAGCCAATAATCGGTAATTAATGAAAGCAGAAAATCTCGGTAACCACATGAGCCAGCTCCACCAAACTTCCCATAAAACTCAAATGCACTCACTACTCACTGCACACCAAAATTCAAAATTTTTTATCAAAAATAACCCACGAAAATTAAAGTTATAGTAGGAAATGTATCGTTCAGACTTCGCACTCTCACCTCAGCGAAGGAATGAAAGATCGAGAAAACGTAAAAGTAGAGAGTCGGCCGACGGACTCGATTACAATACTTCCTTTGCTTACGCTCGGGAAGTAAAAATTGAGTTTTTTAAGACGAATGGGGAATGAACTGGCGATATTTAGTGCCTTAACAATATATAAAACAATTATATTACCACATTTTATGTATCGCCCGACCATTTTTGTATCTCCTATGCCAAACGGACATGGAAAGCTTGCAGAAAATGCAAAATAGAGTAATGCGAATTATCTTGCAGTGCAGTAGATATACAAGAATATCTGATATGAGGAGAGTCTTGGAGTGGTTGGATGTATCTGATATCATTAAGCTGCAGACTTTAATTTTAGTACATAAATTATTTAATAATACGGGACCTGAGTATTTGAACAAAAAAATTCAAAATATGAAGGCAAAATATAATTATAATACGAGACAAAAAGGAAAGTTGCATCTAACGTCAGAAACCAAATAGTCTTCAATAAATTCATTGTTTTACAAGGGCATCAGACTATATAGATAACACGTTACCAGAGAGCATAAAACGCCAACCAATTGTAAAAAAATTCAAGCGTGAGATAAGGGAATTACTATACAACAAATCCTTCGAGGAAATTAATAGCTATTATCTTTGTTTAACTTAATTAATATTTTTAGTAATAATTTACAACATAATTTTTTGCCTTATTATTGCATTCTTGTGTTCATTTTATGTATTATTAGTTTTAGCTAAATAAATACCTTATTAATTTTCATAAATATCGATTTCAAATTTAAATTTGTAGTAAAAGAATTCTTTATACATACATGGAAATTCGACTCGACAGTTAAAAATTGTTATAATAATACCAGTGATAATAACATCTGCTAAACTATTTATTTTTTCATTTGTCTAAATTATTGATATGCAAAAAATGGAAAAATGTCTTCCTTTAAATAATTTACATCTTTTAAAACATTAATTTCCTTTTCTTGCAAAGTTGGTTGCATATACACTAAATTCATTCAAATCATGAGCTTGGGTCATACAGCCTCCGTTGTTTTTAATCTTTGTTGGAACTGTTTATGGTCAATTTATGTGTCTTCTAAGAACTATAATTGTCATCTCAAAATAACCACTCATTATTTTGTGTTACTTTAAGCAAAATATTAACTGTCAATGTCAAACTGAAAAGTTGATTCCTTTTTTACAATTTCAGATCTTTTCGCCTGCACAATGCTAAAAATTGTAATAAATAAAACAGAACTCTTAACTTCTAATTTTTCTAATTAATGCTATATTTTACAACTTATTTACCACACAAGCACAATAAACTATACATTAACAAAATCTACCATTGTTTTGTACAAGTGATTAATCTAAACCCCACTTAACCAATAAAATATAGTCTAATGAAAGTTGATGTAACAATTAATGTACATTACAATAGCAAGCTTAAGAACAAAACTACATCTATCTATTTACACCTACTAAAAACTTATCTGAATAACTTAATGTATATAAAAAATCATCAGTCAACTTCGATATCACAGTCATTGTATTTAGAAAAAATACAGATAACCCTTACTTGAAAAATATTGAAAATTACCTAACTTTACCAAATAATTTGATTGTGTCAAACGAGAGTATCTTTAAAAAATTTACATGAGAGAGGAAAACCGCTGTTCATAAATTCTTGACCTATGACCTGCAGTGAATATATGCCCAATAAGAGTTTCTGTATTTCGTACTCTATTCTTAAATCGGTCACGATCTCTTGCATACTCCTCCCAAGGTCCTTTCCGAGCAGCTTGATAGGCGTAAGACCACACAACCATCGGATGAATTTCACGAAGTTTGCTATCATTTGCAAAGCGCACCTGTAAAATAAATCAAAACAATCTAATCAATACAGTTATCTACGCATTAAAACAAAAAGAGAAAGCATGAAAAACTAATCTACTTTATCATTCAAGGTTGTTGCCAAGCACTCATAATTGTGCTGCATGATCATAACAACTGATCAAAGTATAATTAATGAATGTCGCCAAACTGGAAATTCCAGACTACGAGTGTTGTTTCCCCAATTTGTTTACCTTTTTGCGTGGTATGATTGAGTCTGAAGAGCCAAAATCTTCTGTTGTTTCAGTTTCATCATCAGATGGTTCAGATATGTGTTCATATTCCTCATCGAAAAATATCACAAAACTGTCTTCACTTTCAGCAACGGAAATTTTTCGTTCCCTCTCTGCTGGTTTTTCTTTCAAAGGTTGACTGGTCGTCATTTTTACCTGATTCGTTTTGTTTTTCTTTCGTCGCCGTCTCCTTTTCTTTTTCTTCTTCTTACTGCTACTATTGCACGCATTATTTGATTTTGGTACAATTGGATTAGGGAAACTTGCTTTTGGTTTGGGTTCTTCTTGCATTCTTGGACTAGTAATTATTTCAAGATCCATTTTTGATGAGGTATTATAATTTTGGCAGTTCCTCGGAGGGCTCAGATTCATGTTGCTTTTACAGTATGCAAACTCCTTGTTTAGGATGGGGTTGAAAACAGTCGGAAAAATGGGGTGGACCGAAGTATGATAGTTCCCTTTGTGCATTGGAGAAAATCTGGGTTCTGCAGAACCCATCTTAGACATCACACTCCACATAATTATTCAAAATGTGAAATTATCTTGTCTACAATGGTTTCCTGTTCTCCAACGTTTAATCAAATTCAAGTCCGTGATAACACAATGGGGGATTTTACAGCACGTTCCGCCAAAATGTCCTTTTTCTATCGATGTTTTCCAACCAGTGACTTCTTCCAAAACACGCAAATACGATGAATATTCAATTTCTTGCATAGAACTTGCACTTTTTGTTAGATTCGCCATCGTTTTCACAAAATTATCTGCACTTTACTGATACATATGCTTACTCTGCCATTTTGTTCAACGAATTAATGTCAAATATAAAGGCGGACGATTAGTCACGAGCGGAGGTCATGTGACCCGTTCCCGAAGACGATCATAGCCGAGAATAGTCCATGTGACGTCATGATGATTAGAAATGCGACATTGCATCCAGTGGCGTAACGTAATCAAACGTAATGGGGATGACACATACGAAATGTTACCTGGAAACGGGGAAATATATAGTGGTTATGTTATACGACAGAAAATAATTATTGTTGTAAATCTAATATCTATCACTAGTGTCTAAATAGACTGTTTATTTTTTGTACTGCGAAAAATAATTTCATGTTCCGCCTATGCGACAGAAAAAAATCCCGTTAATTGTTCAAGTACATACAATTCTTTTTATTGGAAGATTTTTGCAATTATTGTTTCTAATTTTAAACAGTAAAACAATATTTACGGTGTTGCTGTGGAACGTGACATATGACACGAGAAACAACCTAGCAGTGGAATGCAATAACATCGTAAAACAGCAATCAGTAATTAAAATATTTTAGTACGATTATTGTGTGCCTCCGGTCTTATTTATGTCAAAAATACCAACGAAATTCCAAAATTGCAATTACTTGAAGTCGGAGTCGTACATCAAAGCGAGGGATTATTAATACTATTATTGCTTAAATCACTGCGTATAAAGAAAATCTTATTATTTTTGGCGTCTACACTCAGTTGTTGTCAAAAACAACTACATAAATACATAATGATTTTATTTCATTCACGTCTTATACAGGGTGTTGTTGAAATGCACATACAAAAAAATGGGAGTGTTCTGTAAACTTTAAGAATTGAAACAAACCTTGATTTTATAGTCAAAATTATACAAAGGAAAATTGATGTCTGTTCATAGAGGTTCCAGTTTTACAAAATTGTGTGGCACACGTGTTTCTGACAAAACATTTGAAATGATTTAGAATTTTCACAGCTATTTACGTCGACAGCCATTTTGAAATAAACCAGCAAATAAAATTTCATAAAAGTCCACTTCAGAATAATAGTAGTAATAAGGATAGAAATTCATTGAAATATAGTTATACTCGGCTGCAAAATTCTATCCATTTTTCATAACAAAAATCTTTATCGCACCTTATATAGATAAACTTAACCTTGACCGTGTATTACTGGTAAAATTGCAATTCATTTAGATAAAATGTGAACCACACAGAAAGTCTAAAATTACAAACAATTTATAAGAAGTGTGAAAAACGGAGTCGTTTTACACTGGATAGAATTGTACTCGACCATGCCATTGCTATACATTTAAACAAAATAATAATAAAAAACAGAAATGTAGCATTTTTACAAACGAAATGTACAAAATGCTACAAAAATAAACTTGTCTACAACGGAAATAATAATAATAATAATAATAAAGTACCTTGTCTTAGTGTAAATACACCTGTGCTTACCACGTGTTTACAGCTACTGTTTACCGGAAACTGGGATGGTCGCGTGCTCGTGTAGTCTTTCCACCCTCTTCTACCACAGACCAACCCTCCTTCTGCTTTGAATAGAGCGCCAGTTTTGAATCTTGTTATCACTGATTGACTTTAGATGGAGTTACATATGGCTTATGAATAAAATGACGATATCTGCTACCTACTTTACTCTAAAAAGCGTGATATATCTGGCCTGGAAGTGGAAAAATAAAAATTTACATGCTAGACAAGGATAGTACAAGAATAGTAATTTCTTTAACGTTTGCGTGACACCAATTTTCTACTTCATTTATTAGATCAGAATTGCAATAAAAAGATGTTTTTTGCAGTTTCGAAAAGACAGGCCCGATCTTTCTTTCGAAGAAGTAATTATGAGGATCTCGAACATATTTTCTGTAATGTAAAAATACGCTGTAAAATATTTTTTAATTTTTTTTCTCATAGGTGGGAACATCAACTGTGGCGAAAATTCTATCAACAGGAGACCAAAATTTAAAAACATCACTATCTGGCAAGCAAAAACCAACGGATTTATATATATTTACAAATTATATGTTTCGGAAAGACCTGCAACGACAAATTTGGCAACTTAATGAAAAAAACGAATATTTCACTGTAGATACCCTTTTGGCATATTCTAGGGAACAGTTGGAATTTAAAGGGGGGCGAACCACATTATACAGAATTCAGAAGTCAATGGGTTATAAACACAGGGAAGTAAATGGTCGCAAAATTCTATGTGAACAAAAACATGTTGTTGCAGCCAAAATTACTTTTTGAGAACATATTTACAGTTTCTAAATTCTTGTGAAAATTTGACTTTCGTGGATTTGGATGAAACATGGATATATCAAAATGGTTCGTCCATTCGTCGCTGGGTGCACGATACTGATCTAAAAAGCAATCCCACCAAAATTAAAAGTGAAGGATCTAGGTTTACTATTGTCCACGCGGGTTGTTCAACGGGGTTCTTGGATGGTTGTAACAATTTTTTTAATTAAAAAAATAACGATAGAGACTATCATAAAACGATGGACGGGACAATTTTTCAAAATTGGGTGGTTAATCAGCTCATTCCTGCTTTGGCAAAGTTGAACCAAAAATGTGTGGTGGTTTTAGATAATGCACCGTATCATTCGGTTCAGTTGGATAAACCATCCACTTTTCTAGTAAAAAATGTGAAATTGCAGGAATGGCTCTTTAAACATAGTATTGAATTTGACAAAAAATTTTCCAAGAAACAGTTGTGAGATTTAATTAAACCCTTCAGAAACAATAGAAAAAAAAGTTATTTGGTGGACGAGACATTAAGAGAAAGTGGCCATGAAGTTCTTAGATTAGCTCCATTGTCAATATAATCCAATTGAAATGGCGTGGGGATTTTGTAAGAACTATTCCAACAAGCACATAAATTCTCAACCTTCATTAAAAAATAAGGTGGAGAACTTATGGCTTGAGGCGCTTTCTAAATCTACTCCAAGCATGTGGCAAAATTTTTGTAAACATTGTGAAAAACTTATTTTGGCAGATTGGGAAAAAAATATGGGAAATCTTTCGTACGAACCTATACCTCCTTTCATTATTTCGCTAGGTGAATCTGATTCAGAATCTAAATTTGAAAATGACGGTGATGATACAGATTTTCATAGCGAAATATGATATTTTTACGCATCTTTCGTTCTAAATTTACCAAGGTAGTATGTGAAAAACTACCTGACGTACAACAAAATAAGTATAATTTTAGTTAGATCATTCACGTTGTTACTTTGCACCAAATTTTGAGCATTTTCATTTTTTTTTTGTAACTCTTCATGGACCTGGAGAAGGCGTATAGTAACGTTCTTATTAATAAGCGTTTGGAAGTACTTGGTAAAAGCAAATAAAGAGCACTTACGTAAGCGTTAGTAATAGCTATATAGATAAATATTTTAATTTAAGGCCGGAAAAATATTTCAGAAGAGCTAAACCCATCAAAGCACTAGAGCAAGGTTGTTGTCTTTTACCAACCCTTTTAGTAATTTTAGAAAAGTGAAAAAAGAAGTCGGAAGATATGGAAATAGGCTGTTCACAAAGGTCGAAATTTCCATTTCTAAGAAGAGTGGGCAAACAGAACGTACTGATGATTGGGAATTAAAGATGAGATGCTAAATGTGGCATGCGACAATAGTCGTATGTAGAACCCCCATTCATATAAAAATATTGTTTAAGTGAAATTTTAATGTTTGTTCCTTACATATGAAATCAACACTTACAAAAAGCCGAATAACTGTTTTAAATAGCGTAAAGTTTTATGCTTTCTAAGAAATGGATACCGTTAACTTGGTCATTGCTACTGAAAACAGAAAGTATCGGCAACAATGTTTATATTTCTGGCATATTTTTTAACCTTTAATTTAATAAAACATAACCTAACGAAAAAAGTTCAGGGAATTTTTATTCTTCTGCATCGAGTACCAACAAACTCACTAGATTTTCATGGCCAACCCTACGATATAAAGATCGTGAAGTCGTGAACGAATAATACAAAGGAAATTTTGTGTTGCCAAAACAAAACAACAGATGGCGGACTTTTAATAAAAACAATCTAGCCCCTAGAAATACATACATAATTTCTCTGCAAGAATCTGAAATATATTTTTAAAATGGTAGAATTTTTTAGAGAAATATTGATGTTACAATTAAACTCCGCCTTTAAAAACTCATCACAATTGAGATCGGGCGGGTGGGTGGGGCTTAACTTTTGTTTGTTTTTTTTTAATATATAGAATTCTCTTTCAACAACAGGTTAGGTAAACATGTTTTCAGTTTCTTCTTGGGAAAAACACTTCGTATATTAAAAAAAAAACGGACCAAATATAAGCCCCGCCCACCAAACCCTTCTCAATTCTGATGAATATTTTATTCATTGTGAGCTGAAGGGCTGAGTTTAGCTGCAAATTCCTCATGTTTACAAGAAATTACCATATGAAATATGGTTTTATAAGAGTAGAATTCTTTAGAGAAATATTGATGTTACAATTAAACTCCGCCTTTAAAAACTCATCACAAATGGAATCCGGACGGGTGGGTGGGGCTTACTTTTTGTTTGTTTTTTTTTAATATATAGTTTTCCTTCAAAAATAGTATAGTTAAACATGTTTTCAGTTTCTTGTTGGGAAAAGAGGACTTCGTATATTAAAAAAAACGGACCAAATATAAGCCCCGCCCACCGACCCCTTCTCATTTGTGATGAATATTTTATTCATTGTGAGTTGAAGGGCGGAATTTAGCTGCAAAATCCTCATTTCTCTACAAAAAAATACCATATGAAATATGTTTTTAAAAGAGTAGAATTTTTTAGAAAAATATTGATGTTACAATTAAACGCCGCCTTTGAAAACCCATCACAATTGAGATGGGGGCGGGTGAGTGGGGCTTAATTTTTGTGTTTTTTTTAATACATAGAGTTTTCCTTCAACAACAAGATAGTTAAACATATTATCATATAATAGTACCGTCATCCATTGTTGTACGAGTCGAGCAAATGCAGTTGGTAACGCAAAAAATTCCCCTGGTTTGGAACCAAATTGTGTCAGCAAAGAGTTTTTATTTAAAGTCAATTAATTGTCAATTAATATAACTAATAATTATTAAATAAAATTTTATTGATTAAATTTTATATTTTATACAAATTAAAACTCCATATTTTGTATATAAACTACAAACATTAAATACAATGATTAAATCCAACATAAAACCATTTTAAATTTCGCGGTCTATCAAATGGTGTTCATAAATTTTGTTTTTGTTAAGTTTCCGCCAGGTTTGCTCCACGGCGACGATACTATGTGTTTTCTAGGGGCTATAAAAAACAATTATTATAGTCAATCTATCAAACCAAAATCCCTATATTTTTTGCATTCTTAATGTGGTAGCTATGATGCATATAACAATGTGACAACATTAAGTACTAAAAAATTGGTCTAAATTTATTTAGACAGAACTTCCTAGGACGAAGAAAAGACAGTCAAATTTGGATTAAGAAATGGAAATCAAATTAATTAAAAATTGGCCTAAGGTTGTTCAATCAGAATCCCCACCCGTGAAGTACAGTCCAACAAATTCTGCTTCGGCGAAAAATTATAAAATTTGATTTTTGTGTTGTGATAAACCTTATAAAATAAAAACCGGTGGCGTAAATAACACCCCTGCAGCCCCTGTGTCGCGGAAACGCAAATTCCAAAGGGGCACGGTCCGCACAAGTGCAGATAATCAACAGGAAAAAATGTATTCTCAGTACATGCTTATCTTCGATTGTTTATGTTCATAGTTCGAAAGATTTCGATGAATTACGCCCGTACAGATAACAAGGCGTCCGCGGTGACCAAATACAATTGTGTGATAAGAAATTGAAATTTGATTGATTTTGTCTAGTCAGAACAAAAGAGACGACTAATGAATTAGTTAAGGGATAAAACATTCCCCATATTATTTTGGGTGAGTAGCTGCTACTATGATAATAATTAATTACACAGTAGAACAGTGTTTTTGTTACATATATTTTCTAAACATGGTCGGAAAGGTAATTTTGTGCTGAACAACTCTTAAAAGAGATAATATACTCATGTCGTCAAAAAAAAAATTATTCAAATTTTTATTCTCGCCCGGTGAACAATTAGAAAAAATGAAGTGAATTCTAACTTTACATAGAAAAAACGCGCAGGAAGCACTAAAAAAGTTCCACATATATCTGTCGACAGATATTTAATTACGTCTACGAATATTTAACCTGCCTAGAATATGTAGAAGGATCTAACTCTTTATAAAAGCCCCATGTATTCGGAAAGAATGAAGACTTGGGTCTTTCTCTTAAATCTTTCTTCGACTTTCTTGATTTCTCGATGAAAAGATTATCAGCAAAGAAATTTAAATGAGACGTAATTTGTGGAACGTTTGTTTCCTAAAAATTCACTCATCACTAAGCTAATTGATTCCCGAGTAAATTTTTCCGTATCATTCAAATAGGTGTAGAAAATTTGATCCTTCATTCGAATTTCAGGCCCAATGAAAATTTCTAAATATAGGAAACGTACATAATATGAAAACTGAAATTTACTGTAATATTTTAGTTTTTACCTTGGTTTATGTTAGCAGCAGAAAGCTTAGGAAATATTATTTTCAGATGTTGAAATGCTTTCTCTCTTGTATTTCACTTGCATAAGAAGCACATATGCTTGGTATATCCAAATTGGAAGCCAGTTACTAAAGCTACAATTTTTAGATCGCCTATCAAATTCCATTCAAACTTTTTGTCGTTAATACAGTTTAAAAAGTGTTGAATATTCTTATATGTTTCTGCAGTTTGTATGGAGTATGCAGTCGGTAGTACTAGATATTTATTCCCATTATGCAATAGTACACCTTTAACTGGAACTATCTATGAACAATATCAATTTTTTTTTTTTAATATTAAACAGTGGTCAATAAAAGTTGTTAATTGACTTCACATTTCTGATCCAAAAGTCGGTTAATAATTTGTAAATTATAAATTTTAGAATCTTTATTACTCCAGATTAGTGTAGCTAACAAGTACCTATTATTTAAACAACAAGACTGGAATGGACAATAAGAAATAGTGAAATATAAAGCACTTAACTATACAAGGGCCTCACTACTTGTCATTTTCATAAATGACTTGTCTAATAATTGTAATACGTCAGAAAAATGCATTTTTTCCATTATTGACACGTTATTACTGAATTCAACCCTTGTTTTTGTAAACTAATAGATGTTTTTAACAGAATGGATGAAATCTTTTTAATACCCCTGTCAAAAACAAATAAAAAATCTTGGGAAGTGTGTAATAATTTTCCTAAAAAGTTCATCAAAAAGAGTGCATTAGGAAAAATATATCAGAATTGACATTTTGAGGTTTTTTCCAAAACTACCAAAACCACAGTCCTTAATTTCATCGAAAAATTCCACGGTCACGGTGCATCAACATTTCCATAAAGTGCTTGTCTAATGCCCGTTATTAACATACCTATTTTGAACAAATCCCACTTTCTAGTAGTTATAAAGACGTTAAAGCAGATTTCAACGATAAATACCGAACAGAATTCGCATTACCTGTAAAAGAGTCATTCGTGATCTGTGCGCGATCTGCAATGGGTGTTCCAGAAAACAAAATTAGTGACACGAAAATGTCGATTAAAAATAAAAGTACGTCAAGTGAATTGCCCAAGAAGAGCCAAATAGTCTGGAAGAATATATTTTTATTATTCTTTCTACACCTTTTTGCCCTTCACGGGATTTATTTTGTAACAACGATTAAATTCTCCACAATCGTTTGGGGTAACCATTTTCAATTAAGTATACTTAAACATTTATAATATCTTTTTAAATGCAGCTATCTTCACCGCTGTCATCACGGGACAAGGAATAACAACCGGAGCACACCGATTATGGGCACACCGTTCATATAAAGCCAAATTACCTTTGAGGATAATTTTATGTTTTTTGCAAACCATGGCCTTACAAACCCCGATTTATGATTGGGTTCGAGATCACCGCGTTCATCACAAATTCACCGACACAGATGCGGATCCACACAACGCGAGTAGAGGATTTTTCTTTTCGCATGTGGGGTGGTTGTTGGTAAGAAAACATAAGCAAGTTATCGCCAAAGGAAATACGTTGGATTTGAGCGACTTGGAAAATGATCCCGTCGTGATGTTTCAAAAAAGGTAAATAGCTAATTTGTAATATTTAATTACTATTTATTTTTTCTAGATACTATATGATTTTTGCTCCTATTTTGTGTCTAGTCGTACCCGCTTGGGTTTCTTGGTACTATTTTGAGGAAGATTTGTACGTGGCATGGACTACCACATGTTGTTTGCGATATGTGTTTACACTGCATGCTACATGGGCCGTTAATAGTGTGGCTCACATTTGGGGCACAAAACCCTATAATAGGTATGTCATAAGGTAATGTTTAAAACCAATTTTGATGTGTTAAAATTGTAGGGAGATAAAGCCAACAGAAAATGTTTTTGTGTCCATCTGTTCTTTTGGGGAGGGTTGGCACAATTATCATCATGTTTTCCCTTGGGACTATAAAGCAGGAGAATTTGGCAGTTATAAAACTAATGTTAGTACCGCCATTATTGACCTAATGGCAAAAATAGGGTGGGCTTACGATTTGAAAAGTGCAACGCCTGAAATGTTAAAATTGCGGAGAAGTCGGATGGAAAAGTGAAATATATATTTTTTTAGATTTGTAATGTATTGTTAAGAAAATATTTAAGTTAGTTTGTTTAATATTTATCTGTAAATAGGATGAGAATGGCAACTTTAGGAATTAGGTAATTTAAATTTAAGCTCTGTAAATACAAATGTACATTATTAACAATATTATTATTATTATTACTAGTGCTATAATAAATACTCGTATACTTTAAATTACTTATAAAAAATGTTTTTCGTGTAAATATGTCTAATATAAAAATAAATCCTAAAGAGTTTTTGTTTATTGTTTATGTGTAAATAGGAGGTGTTGCTAATGAAAAGACACTGAGCAAGTCATTGCTAAAAAAATACGTTAGATTTCAGCTATGAAATTACAAATATACAATAATAACAATAAATTATGTTTAAGAATAAAACCAAATAATAAAAACAGAGTAAAGCAATAAACATTTCTGCATAAATAGATGCTAGACAGTTACATCTATCTCACTAGAGTAAGACACAATCATGCAGATGTTTATTCCGACGACAGATTTTCGAAATAATGTAACATTCTTTGCTTAAACACTATCGTAGAAGAAGAATTCACATCATCACTTAGCCCATTCCATACACTGAAGATTTTGCTGAGCATCCCATCTTTCTTTTCTTTTCTTTTTTCCTTTTGAAATTCACGCAAAAATCGTTTTGTTCTTGTTTTTTTTCTCTCTTCTCAGAATTTAAATTTAAAATATATGTATAAATATAAATTAATTAACTAAATAAGTAATATTTAATTTTATGAGTAGCGATTCGAGTGATGAACTAGATTCGTCAATAATTTTGAAACTTCAGTTAGTTTTGAAAACAAAAAAGAAACAAAAATGCCTGATCATAATTTTGATTATCAACTCACGAAGTTGTATGTAGATACAATATCGCCCTACAATGTTGATCAAGATACTTTAGAAATTTTTATATCAACTTGCGAATATCTTTTTCAAAACACTGACGTTAGTTCAGCTCCACACTTAAAACCGTATTTATTGAGAGTTGTTATTAGTAAATTGACTGGCAGAGCTCAAATTTTAATAGGAACTAGATCAGAGTTAAATACATGGTCACTGATAAAAAAAGCCCTGCGCGCAAATTTCGGAGATCAACGTAATTTAGATTGCCTTGAGCAAGATTTAATCGCTGCCTTTCCTTTTAAAAACGAAGGTCCACTAGAATTTGACAAACGTTTATAAATTATGAAGAGGAAACTTTCGACCAAATTAAATTCGTTTGACATTTTGGAAATGAATGACACCACAAAAACAGTTTAATTTACAGAGCAAAATTCGATTAAGAAACCCCACATCTCTGGAATCCGCCATGTCTTATGTCGCAGAAGAAGAAAACCTTGTCCATCTTGTTCAACATAATAAACAATTGCCCCAAAAAAATTACCAACCATTTCGACAACAGTTTCCGCCACCTCACAATCGTCCACATTTTTCTAATAATTATGTCAGATCCCAAAACGCATACCCAGTTCAACAGTCTTCTAATCGTCCGAATGAAACTCAACAATCGCATTTTTTCCAAAATGGTCAACCACAATTTCCAAATCGACCCATTAATTTAACTAGAAACCCAAATCCACCAAAACAGAGATTTCTAACAAATTCCCAAGTATTTTTGAGACCCAAGAATGCATTTAGGCCAACTAGTCAAATACCAGCTGAAAAACCAACCCCGATGTCAACAACATCTCGAGCCCCCACGATTAAAACCCAAACACAGACCAGGTTAATTACGTACAGGTCGCCACAAAATTTCAATCCCCCTGATTTCTATCATAGCCCCTCTAAACCCAATCAGAGCTTCATATCCGAAGAATTATATCAAATAGATGACGAACAACAAACAGAACAAGGAGCATGTTGTTTCGCTACAAGTAGTGAAAGCGATTACAGCAATTATGAAAATCTCGCTAATGATATTGACCAAACAGACAATCAATATCAACCGAACGACGAACTTTCATATCAAACAGATTATGATTATCAGCAAACTAATAATGACGATACCGAAACAAATAAGGAATCAAATTTTCCATCGAACAACCAAGTCAACCTCCTTTTTCAAAGAGACGTAGCTTACGAAGTAAACACACACTCTGCCTCTCAAATTATTATTATTAGTCGATACAGGACCTTATGCATCGATCAGTAAACCGTGTATTGCAGAAAAATACTTTCCATCAACGAAAGTTTCGAATTTGCCTTATATGATTTCCATAGTCTCTTCGATGGGATTATTGGTATTAAATAACTTCTGGATTTAAAATTTTCCATAGATTTGGTCAATAAACGTCTAACGAACAATTCCATATAAGTCCCTCTACATTTCAGACAAACAAATGATTTTTTGACAATAATTATCGACTCGTTTTCCCGATATGCTCAAGCGTACCCCATTCAATCTCTAAATCCGATAAACATAATTGACAGCCTTTTACATTTTATCTCGCACCTCGCACCATGGACAGTGTTAGGCAGTATCTAGATACTTGTATCTAAATAAAGTATCTAGATACATTTTTGGGTATCTAGTACCTATCTGTATCTAGATAAAATCGAATTTAAGCACAAAATATCTGTATCTAGAAACAAAATTAATGGCGCAGATACAGATACATTTTTTATTTCACTTATTTTTCAGTAGTTATTAGTTGAGTTATACTAGTAGCATTTTTTGATACTTCATGTTGGTGATTTTGGTCCCATAAACAAAAATAGAGGTAAGAGGTCCACTAATAGTGTTCTGTCACGGAAATTTTCATATTTTAAATACCATCATGTCCTACATCGTAGCCTTCAGTACTTATACATCTTTAAATATAATCCTGAGGGGTAATAAATCTAAGCCATGGTAAGATGGTATTTTAAAAACCATAAACCACAATTCACTACTCACTGCGATTTACGCTTGTCGGGGCAATGCATTTTATCTGTGTACCTGAGCAACCCGGGTCCGGTAGGCCAGCTGGTTGTATTTGTCTTATTAAATAAGAGTAATTTTAATAGTAAAAATATTTGTTTAAGGTATGTTATTATTTTTAGAAAATAATAATTGCGTGTTACATAATGATTAACTTTTTCAATTAGCACAAATTAGTTTTGTAATTGACTAATCGAATGTTCAATACATACATTTCTCTCGCATAAATCGCATATTTGTTACTGTTTTATATCTGTATTTTTCAGACAAATGTAGCATCTTTTCCTGTTGCCACATGTGTCATTTCTTCACTTTTTCATTGTTGGACCTAACGCGAGGCAGGCTTGGCAGGTCCGTTTTGCCCTAGAATGTGCCGCTTATGTTTAAGTGTAAATCTTGGGAAATAAAATTAATATTTTTACAACCCTCGGTAGAATAATTTATCGTGATATATTCTCAGAAATCGTGAAACGAGATTAAAATAAAATGAGTTTCAACAAAAATGTGAAAATTTAAAGTTGCACTCTGGTGATTCCGGCCTGCCAGGCAGCCTTTGATCCTATAAGGGGTTTAAATACCTTTTTAAGAAATTGTACTTATTTTGCCTTAAACGGAACCAGCAATTCTTCCTAAAATGTATATACCTGCCGCACCGGGATAGACGATTGCCGAACATGGTCATAAAAACATCGTAAGCCGATATTGAAGAATAATAATTTATGAGTCTTATGACTTCAGCACAGAATAATCATTTCATTAAGTATTAAATATACTTGGCCAGTTTGCTCGCGCCAAAAGTATTTTAATTGTCGGAATCCAGTACAACAGTTTGCCAAGCAATCACAACATTTCCACGACAATCCAGGAAGTAAAACAAATTGATCCTGAAGAGAATCTGGAACTCCAACACGTTTATAATGAAATTGCCTGTTACATGTACCAGCTCAAAAAAGATTAATTGAACTAGATTTGGACGATCTAACTGCACCCAGGCATTTACCGCAGTTTGTGTACCTACATGCTGGCTCTAAGGTTAGACAATTAGAAGTACGCTAACAACAAATTATTATCATGTATTGCAAATAAATACGGAAACAGTAACTGCTCGGCTAACCATCCACAAAAAGTGTGGTCAGTAAAGTAAAAAAGCCATTAACGCTAAGCGTCTTTTAATTCACCAAAACACGAGACAACAACATGGAACAAACTCACCAAATAGTCATCGTAGACGGCTAAAAATTTAGAGCAATCAAAAACCACCACCCACTAACATAGTTTGACTGAATTTCGGATTGATTTTCTAGTTTTTTGCTTACCCTGATAGCGCCTTATCGCTATTGGATTTTTACTCTTTTCATGGCTGTCAAATATGGAAACTGCAACAAGGCTATTAAAAGCCACTGAGGATTATGTTGTAGGTAGGAAAAAATGTGGTGGTAATTATCATATTTTATGTGTTGGTATTGATAAGCCGACTTTCGATACTCCGTAAAACTCAATTGACCCAGAAACCAAAAATAGTTCGGGAAAAACTCGAAGATTCCTTTAAGAATCTTCCTACTTCTATTAGAGGGGTGCAATCACAATGTTATTTGCCTCTCAGAGAGTTGGTCAACTTCCTCGATCTTAAACACTAAATTTTGGCCAAATGATTTTGAAACTGTTAGATCTGACAAAAATTTGTAAAAAATGGGCTTATCTAAAGGCGGAGGAGTTCTAGTTGCGATTCGTCGCCAGTATGCTTCATTTCCATTTGATTTATATTCAAAGGGATTTGATTCGTTACAATTTACTGATGTGGTTGGTGTTAAATGTTGTTTAAGCCATTTAACTCTTTATATTCAAGTTCAAGTGCTGACGAGTACGATTTGTTAGTGATTTTAATCTACCTGATTATTTGAAAATCAATATCTTTCTAGTTGGTCGATGCTTAGGTTCATTGTTGCCTGTTGACCAACTCAAATTAAATAAATAAATAAATAAAAATGTTTTTCGTATGTACCCGCTTAATGGGATCAAACGATGCATATCCAGAAATATATAAGAAAAAATTTAGAAATCA